TTACTATTATTGGGCTCTCCATTACAGCGGGCTTAGAGCAGTGGTTCTCAACCTGTGGGTCGCGACCCCTTTGGCAGTGGAACGACCCTTTCACAGGGGTCGCCTAAGACCATCCTGCATGTCAGCTATTTACATTAAGATTCATAACAGTAGCAACATTACAGTTATGAAGTAGCAACAAAAAATAATTTTATGGTTGGGTCACAATATGAGGAACTGTATTTAAAGGGCCAGAAGGTTGAGAACCACTGGCTTAGAGAATTCCTTATTACCTGACGTGAGCAAAGCCTTTGTATTAGTCATCTACAGCTGGGTAACAAATTACCTCAAAACTCAAGTTACCTCACACTGTTTCTGAGGATCAGGAATCTGGAAGCTCTGGCTCAGGGTCTCCTGGAGGCTGCAGGCAAGCGGTCAGGGAGCTATAGTCACCTGAGGCTTGATGGGGCGTGGAGGATCCGTTTCCAGAGGCATGGGCTCCTTACCACGTTTGCCTTCCTGTAGGACTGCTCACAGCATGGAAGTGACTTCCCCAGAGCAAGTGCTCCAAGAGAGAGTAAGTGTCATCAAGACAGAGCCACTGTGGCTTTTACAACTTAATATCAAGAGTGACATGCTGTACCTTCTGCCATATTCTACTGGTAGAATACAGCGTGAGAGGGGCTGCACGAGGGTGTGAATACCAGGAGGCAGAGATCCCGGGGGAGGGGGGACTCTCTCAGAGGCTGGCTACCACTGCCTTACATAGTTTTCCTTAGCAATGCCACAGACGTGCTTTTTTTGCTTTAATTTTAGATTAGAGCCAGGAGGCTTTGAAATGATTACAGTGGTTTCTAATCTACCAGCAAATGAAAGGCATCTGAGCATCAAGATAAATGTCTGAGTGAGGTCTGCTAGCCACTTGAAAAGCATGTGGTTCCACATGCCTAAGAAATCCACAGCTGACTTCAGTAAAATCCCGGCTATTAGATATTCCAGCTCTGCACTTTCACAAAGTGCAAAGGACAGAAGTTGTCTCTCTCTATTAACAAGTAAGAATGGTTAGCAGATAAGGCACGGTTTGCAAATCTGTATTTATGATTGGGGTCTGGCTGAAAACAGAATAAACCATACGATCTGGGAAGTCTAATTCTAGCAGGAAGTTGCTTTGAAATAACCCCATGCTTCGCTCACTCTCCAACTGATGTCTTTGATGACCGGTTTGGACACGTCAATAAAATGTTCTGTCACTTACTATATGTTATTTTCTTGCAGCTCTTCCCACTGTTTGATGGTAACGCTAACCGTGCCTGTTCTCTCAGCAGAATCCACACTCTGATTCCGATTTGCCAAGCAGATTGCTTTTGGCTAAATGTCCTGCCCACACCTAAAGGTCCTTCAGGTTCGAGAGGCCCCATTAAAAGATCCCTAAAGAAAATATGCGGCCTTGACTGACTTGGATTTGTAGCTCTAGCTCCAAAACTTAGAAGAAAGCGGCTGGTTAACATTATAAACATTTTGAAGTACTTGTCTTTCAGAAATGCAAAGAACCATTGTAAGAAAAGCCCTTTGATGGCTCAGAACTTATTGTATGCGCTTATTATTAATTGGTACACTTTCTCCCCCATTTCAACCGAAGATTCTGTACATTGCAACAATGAAATAAGTAAAGACATGTGTCCACTTTAAAACCTTGCTATTGGTGCGGTCTCCTAGACCTAGTCCTTTCCCGTGCTTTCTGGGTAAAGGCTCCTTCCTTCCCTCAGCCCGGCAGCACTTTGATCTCAGAAGCAGTGCCATTTGGTTGAACTAGTAAGTGTATGTGGTGCCTTTGATCTGGTACTTAGCGGGGCTTATTTAAAATAGATAGCTTCTTTCATCTAAATAGTGTTTACCAGGTCTCTCTCTGTGAAGGACGGTTTCAATTGCTATTATTTAGATAGTTCTATAAAGTTTCTTAAGAGTGCCCAGGCCTAAGTCTAAGTTCTGAAACCCCAATGGCAATATTATAGATTTTGGAAAGCAAATTCCTATTAAAATGAGCTGCCCCTATAGATGTCAGGTACTATTTGCAGAAACTTTCTCTGCTTTTTAATGAGGAACTGATTTTCCAAAGAATAATAAACATATCCTATACTCAGACAAAAATGGTAATCTCAAACTGTCTGAACTTAATGTCCAATTATCCCTCTGAAATTCACATATTAATATATTTTTACATTACTCGATTATGCATAGTACACAGGGTATCTTTAAAAGAGACTTTTTAAAAATAGTAAATATAGCCCTAGCCGGTTTGGCTCAGTGGATAGAGCGTCGGCCTGCAGACTGAAGGGTCCCAGGTTCCATTCTGGTCAAGGGCATGTACCTTGGTTGCGGGCACATCTCCAGTAGGGGGTGTGCAGGAGGCAGCTGTTCGATGTTTCTTGCTCATTGATGTTTCTAACTCTCTATCCCTCTCTCCCTTCCTCTCTGTAAAAAATCAATAAAATATATATTTTTTAAAAAAATAGTAAATATATGTATCTTTAATTCTCCTCTTTAAGAGGATTTCTTGAGCATTTTATTAGGTGCACTAGTGATTTGTGTTTAGATTTCCTAGGCAGCATTTAGTTATTCATTCAATAAACTGTGTTGTAGGTCCAGAGACTTAAAGATGACTAAGCCACAGACTCTGCCCTTAGGTTGCTCGCAGCCTGGAGTCTGGGGGCAGGTACTAGCAGGCAATTATGTAACAGTGTGTGAGTGCCTCTCATGGACAGCGGTCCTCCCAGCCCGCCTTCGGAGGGATCAGGGAAGACTTCCTAAAAGAGGTGGCACGCATGCTTCAGTGAGATACTGCTGACTCAGAACTCAACGTCCCATAAATTCCCAGTCAAGTCCAAAGCCATGCCTCACGATTTAATACAGGTGGCCTACACCTTGGGAGAGGTCTAAACCTTGAATGGCTTTGCTTATTGCCTCAAGCTACCCCAAAGTCTTCTTTGGAGAAAGACCCAAGCTGCTTTTCACATACATTTTAGACCTTCAGCTTACTAGTAATTTTTTATTTAGAGGTGATATTGGAAATCTCTTTGTGTTGTTTTTAATCATTCTGTCTTTTAGGGTCCTGGCATTAGGAGGAAATCAGAGGGGCCAGGGCCTGACCTCAGGAGGCTAATCTGGATTTGTGGAGTTGGGGAGGAGAGTCTGGGCCTTTAGATGACACACTACTGTGAGTTCGGAGTGTTCCTGGGGCAGTGCAGGGATGGTCAATGTGCTGCAGGCAAACCACAGGGACTTGGCCTTTTCCCGGTGGTGCTACCAAGCCACTGAGGCTGTGAAACTGCAACATGAAGTGGGATCTTTGCTACTTTCTCTGTTCTTTCACATCAGTCACCGAGCACTACTGATTCTGAGAATCATGCATTGTAGGTATCAGGAGCCTTAAAATCAAAGAGGCTACCGTCCCCCTTTATTCAGTTAGGAAATAAGCCCCAAAGTTCTGGCATCCCAGTCTCACCGTCACTGAGTGACAGAGCCAGAGGTGCACGGCCACCCTGTTGACCAGGACCTGGGCCTGGGCTTCTCTTTCCGGCTTGTTTCCCTCTAAGAGTCTTGGCATAGGGTCTAGGGCCCTGGACAGTTCACAGAAACTGTGGGAGAGAGGCCATCACACTCTGGGGTCCTCCAGCAGGGGTGGGCTCTGGGGACAGTGCAGTTTTCATAGGACTTCATCCCTCTCTCTGGACTCCCAGGGTCCACGCCGAGCCAGAACTGGAATAAGAGTTGTAGTTGATAAGGAAAGAGACAGAACAGGAAAGAATCAGGATGTATTGAGCAGACTTGTGTGAGCCACAGGAAAGCCAGGCTGGGAAGAAGGAGAGCAATATTACATTTGGGAGAAATGAATATATTTTTTAATGAGTTACTAATCATGGGCTGTCCATGGCCCCTAACTTCAGGAAGGCCAAATGTTGATGCAAACTGTGGACGGAAACCAAGGTGGAAAAGGTGGCCCTCAAGAAAATCAAGGAACTGTTATTAGAGGGAAGGTGGAAAGATAAATGCTGGAAAAGCAAAAACAATAGATTTTGACAGACCCTTTGTCCTAACCTGGAGGTAAAAAGTATAAGACTGGAAGGTGCTCATAGACTCTATGACATAGAGTGTTACCATGTGTAAGGTAGTGTCACTACTTGACCTATATGAACTGATTGACGCTATTCTCAAACCTATTCTGCAGGGACTACTATTATTCCCATTGATAGATGGCAGAACTTGAATCAAAGAGAGACTAACTTGCCCAAGGTCTTTCAGCTAGCAAGTGCCTGAAGCCAAGAAGCCTGACCCCAGAACCTCTGTTCTTAATTATTTCCCAGTTTCCTTCTTTCCTTACATATTTTTCTCCAAAATAAAGATTTCAGGAAGGCCCTTATAATGAACCTAATAAAAGCCTAATATGCAAATTGTCCCCTCAACCTGGAGTTTGACCGGAGTTGGACTGGAGGGGTGGGGCCGGCTGGCCAACCTCCCGAAGCCCCTCCCCTCAGCCAGCCCTACCCTTGATCACCCCCTCCCCCACCCCCATCAAGGGTGGGGCCAGCCAGCCAACCTCCTGTGTCCCCTTTCCTGGCCAGCCAGGCCCCAGTTGGCCCCAATTGGGGCAGTCCGGCCAGACCCCACCCATGCACGAATTCGTGCACTGAGCCTCTAGTAGTGAATATAATTACCTGGCACATAGAAGTAGCCATTATGACTTTTGTGATTATTTATTAACAGTATGTAAAGCCTCTGGTGCATAGTAGCCATTCAATGACTATGAAATAAGACCAAAAACAGCATTTGAAGGCCAACCAAGACATTTGCACGGATTCTAGGGCTGAGAGAAAATCCGTATGATCTTCAGGGGGTTAGCAATGGGTGTGAAAGAAGAGGTACAGACAGTATATGAACAGATATGTCTAGAGACCCCTGAGGTAGGGACAAAATGGTGAACTGCTGAATCCTTTAATGACTCCCCTTCTCCTTCCCTTCTCAAGTGCTGCTTAAGTAGAGCTGAGGCCAGGCGGGATGCAGCTAAGGTGGCCCTCATCAACTCCCTGTTCAATGAGCTGCCCTCTCGAAGGATCACCAAGGAATTCATTATGGAGAGCGTGCAGGAAGCAGTTGCCTCCACCAGCGTGAGTACCCCAGGGAAGGGAGGAGCTGGCTGCTCTAAGGATACTGAGGCCTTTGAATCATGGGAGATGCTAAAGTGAGCACATTTTTTAAGAATTGGGCAGATTTAATTTTTATCTATTAAGTCATTAATTTTCAGCAAAAAGAACCCTTGGATTGGAAATCACAAAATTGGAACTGGCTCCCTATTCTTCATCTCAGTAATATTCTTTAACCTTCCTGAACCACAATTAATCAAGCCTTAAATCAAGGCAGATCATTTGATCCGCCTTGATTTCTTTATTTGAATGTTTGCTGTTTGAGGAGCATTGATTTGTTTGAGAGCCTGAGACCACACGCAATTAAATACTGCTTTACTCTAGAGATAAACTAGCTCATTTCCCCCTAAACTTAACTAATCTTAGAAATGATGTGACGTTCTTAAAAGTGCCAACCCCTCCCCCCCAACCCCCATAGGGTGCTGCAATCTGTGTTTTTATGGAAACGCTGACTGCTTAGATATGGGGAAAGCTGTATGCCCAATATTTTTTAACTATTAGAATTGTCATACTTAATCAATTACTTCTTTCAGAGGGCTTTGAAAATGTTTGTAATGGACATAACTAAATACAAAGTGCTTATGAGCAAAGCACTTTGTCTTAGAAATTTAGATAGGATGTTTCTCAGCGACGCAGGCGTAGGCGAGTTACCCCATGAATTATGTGGAGCTCCTGATCCTTGATACCTCCAAACCATAAGCCACGGAGGAAGCTTTGGGTCCCCGCTGTGGTAGTTGTCTCCCTGTATGTCCTCCAAGGGCAGGAAGTTGGCTTTGCCAAAGGGGCTAGTCAACTCCTGGCTTGTCTTTAGCATGAATAAATCTGACCTGAGATTTTCATTCTCTAATTCCTTCAATCTGACTGTAAAGGTTCAGTCATTCCGGAGAAGCTTTTGACAATGAAGGAGACATTATCACACCAGCAGTTACCTTTTTTCTCCTTCTCTTTCACCTCATAAATGCTCTTATCACACAGAAGAGAGAGAAGGAGGGGCAGAGAGTGGCTGACCTGGCTTGGAGACCTCAGGAGCTCTGTTCCATATCTGCTCTGAGGATGAAAGGAAGCCTTTGTTTCACTGCCCTGCACATTTCAAGTGCCTTTGAGGAAGAGAAGTTAGAAAAATGATGCCTGATTTCTATGTGTGGCATTTACTCAGGAGTAGGGAGGGGCCCTCAGTGTAAATGTAATTTATCATTTTTTCATGGAAATTTCTAAGGAAAGAAAATATATAAGATTTGCAGGCTTCTGGATGGATTTCCTCTGGGATATTTAAAAAGCCAACATAAATATTTCAGCAGCAGTGTTAATGTTATTGCATTCAAAAGCTATAAATTTGCTGCTATCTGATGTTGGCAGTCATATGTTCAGCCTCACAAAGTCATTGCCCACCTTCTCAGGAATCTAAGACCAGGGGATATTGAAGGGCAGGCCCCAGACCTTATGTTAGCTTTTTTATTGCCACTCCCCCTAACCAAACTAATGGAGAATTTCATTTCTACACATCACCCACCCACCTTGATTGCTGGAGATTAAGTGATCCGGAAGTAAAAAAATATAAACCAAGATCCATGTCTCCAGGCTGAACACCAGCATATTATGAAAAGCTCCATTAAGAATCATGGCAGTAAAATATGAATGGTCCATACAACTGAAGAATTCTTTCCCTGTCAGTTACATAATCTTGCCTGGTTATCATTGGAACCAGAACAAGGTCATCATTGCAAGATTCCAATAACACCTGCAGGCAGCCTAAGTGGGCAACCACTAGAACATTAACGCCACTATCCACAAAACCCTGTGCGAGGGCACAGGAATTTCTGCTTTGGGATAATTATTCTTTTAGTGAGGATATAATCAGCCAACAATCTAATGGAATGCCAGATTCAAATTGATTACACAATTCTCTTTCCTCTGAATCGTGGAGAGATTAAGGATTTTATGCCAAATCAACTGGAGACTTGATTGTGGAATACACACCTGCAGTGTTAGGCCAATAGAAGGTACTGTAGAGCCACGGTATTCATTTGTGATCACCCAAAGAAGAGGAGGGAACATCCATAACACTTCCCTTTTCTGCTTCCTTCCCAAGGGCACCTTGGACGACGCTGACGACCCCAGCACCAGCATCGGCGCCTATCACTACATGCTGGAGTCCAATATGGGGAAGACCATGCTGGAATTTCAGGTGCCTGACTTCCTGCCACTTGTTTATTTTGCTACACAATCGAAAAGCCTGGGAGAATGCCACTCTTATCATAAACATCCTCTGTCTCCCAGATCTACTTCTGGATCTGAGCCCAGGCTTTGGAGGGGCTGGTCCCTTTCAGGCTGGCTGGCCTTCTCACCTCTGAACCTGCTTCCTCATTTGCATATAAATCGGGGAGCATAATAGTAGTGGCATTTCCTCACAGTGCCATTATGAGGATCCAATGGGACTATATAGAAAGAGTCCAGAACAGTTCCTCGCATATTGTAAATGCTCAATGAAGATTAACAACCTTTATTATATAACTTTCTGAAGAAGGACTGCTTTATGTTGGAGGCTACTGGGTAGATTTTCTTGACAATTTTATATAAACTACAGGTTTCAGATGAGGACAGGGTCACTTCCCTGCATGAACATTTCAGGGTCCTTGCTGTAGAATAAAAAGGTGGGACTATAAAGGGTACGTCCCTTACCCCCAGTAACAATCTAAAGTCAAACAAAAAAAATAATAAAGGGAGGGTCATAACACAGGAGAGAGAACACAAACTTTTAAAGACTTGTCTGTGAAGCTGGCTCTACCACTTTCTACCTGTGAACTGAACTATTGTGAGGTTCAGCTTTCCATGTATAAAATAAGAATCATGATGCCCATTGTATAGGATTTTTGTGGGACTTACATAATATGACATTTATAAAGTGTCTAGCATAGTGATTTTCTCAAAGAACCTCATTTTTAAAAGTTTCTCCCCTATCGACCCCGACAAAAAAATATTACATTTCTTTTGTTATAGAATGAATGTTGCCTGTCTCAGTATTTAGTAGCTTGTATATGATTTAGTATCTATTTTCAGAAAATCAAGAATGATTTTTTTCACTTTAAATGAACATTTACTGACCCGATATTAAATGGGACATGTTTAAGGAATGTGCCCCCTCTGTCTGTGGACAGTTCCCTGCACTGTACCGTTGGGTACATCCTATGGCTCACTAGTCTTTTACAATTATTCACACTCCTATAATGGAATAGCAGGCTTGTGCAGAAGCTCGGAATCTTCTTAGACGGTTGTGGTTAGCAGAGCAAAGATCACAGCCAATGGAGAATCTGCTTCATTTTAAACAAGCGCTGAGATGATGACCTCATCGCTTTCCGTGGAGGTGCCGGGCCCCTCTGGCACTCTAGTCATGGGCTCTTCCAAATTATCACCAGTGACACTCACTGTGGCCTCCTCAGTGGCTTCTTCCACAGAGCTGGAGGTGTTTGATTCCACACCGTAGACAATCCCCAAACTTGTGTATTCTTTAAGCAATCCTCCGTTGTCCACTCTGCACCATCAGGACATTGGCGACTCTGGGTCAGTGGTTGGTGTTGTTCAGCCTGTAATTCTGAGACACTGGAAATGCCTGTGTCTGAGTCAACATCTAGGTATGGGAGTATCGAGGGAAGAAGCAAACAGAGAGGACGAGGGCTTCTTGATCACGGTGTGGGCTGGGAGCGGCAGGGAGTGAGGAGGCTGGGGAAGGTGAGGAGGCAGGTGGCACGCCCTCAGTGCCAAGAATGATTTTTGAATGCCATTGAGTTAGTCTGCAAAAGATAGGAGGCAAGATTTTCTTTTTTATTTCTTAAAATTTCATCCTGAAAGGCTATACTAACCACCTTTCAGTAATACTTTAATTGCCATGGTATAGGCTGTGTTTTCTTGTGTGGTCTATGTTGCAAGAGATTTAAATATGTGAAATAATTTTAATAATGCTGGAAATGCTTCATAAATTCACAGAGGAGATGTTGGGGGAGAGATGAGGTACAGAGGAAGGAAGAAGAAGAAGAAGATGTGAGGACAGGAAAAATCCAAAATCCCTCTCCCCAGTAGGGATGCTGGCAACCCAGGAGGAGGGCCTGGAGCACAGACATCCCTTTCTTCCCCACCAGCCCTATTGCCTGCGGGGTCTGCACATTCCTTGGTGGCCGGGCTTAAATGCATCAGCTTGCTTCTGCACATGATGGGAGTTGACCACAGTCGACCCAGCAGTCAGTACCCCTGGTGGGTAATAGATGTGTGCTTACCCATAGATGACTACACCGTATAAAAACAAGGCTGGTGTCTCCTGACTGCCCGCAGGCTTTCCAGGGGCGCTGTCAAGGAGGCAGGGCGCAGAGGAAACCTTCTAGGCTTCTGCTTACCTTCACTTGGGAGGGAAGCCTGGCTGCCTGTTTTGAGGTAGCCTTGCCTTAGAGAAAACTGCCTGATGTTTGGGGGGAGGGATGGTGACAGCACTAGCCACTGGGTCTTGTCAAGGTCAGGTTCGTGGCAGACTTTGACTGACGCTGGTTAATATATTTATTCTGCAGCCTAATGCAATCCAAGGACGAGTTGTTTATTTACATCTTTGCTCAATTCTCCAGGTTGGTTTTTAAAACCTCATCTCATAAACAAATTTCCTTTTAAATCCATTCTCTTGGGTGGGGAGATGGTGCCCACCTGTTTTTCAAGTTCTCCATTTATAGTGTTTGTTTTTCTTATTTCTGATGAATCACAGAACCAAGCCAGTCTCCCAGACATAGTTCCAGAGAGAAACAGTGTGCATTTCCCCACCTCCCCGCATAGCAGCTGAAGGGCCAGTGTTTCTACCAGGAGGCAATACCAGGAAGCGCTGTGAGGACAGAGCCCAGTTGTAGTTGGTTAAAATGGAATGAACGACAAAATGAACCAAGAAAGCTGTAAATTTTCCCTGAAGAGAAAAACACACACATAAGGCTTGATTTTTTCCACTTTATTTTAATTTTACTTTGCTGATCAGGACTAGCTACATAATTTATGGGGCCCATGGAAAAATGAAAATGCAGGGCCTTTTGTTAAAAAACTACTAAGATACTTATAAATTATTAAAGGCAGTGGATCCCTACGCCAAGCTCGAGATCCTAGGTGACTGCACAGATCGCAAGCTGACTAAGCTGGCCTTGACCATGAGACAGACCCATGAGAAGTGTCCAGACCGGGTAAGAAGAGTTAGGCACTCATTTCAGGCACGAAATTTAAAGGCGTGTCAAAAACCTCCATAATCAAGATGAGTAGTAGTATAACACAATATTGTATAAAGTCAAAATATGCAAACATTCATGACAAAATGTTAAAATTTTAAATAATGACAGAATTTTAATAAAAGACCCTGAACTTGCATGACTCACTTTAAGCTTGCTTCACTCACCCATCCCTAGTCCCAACCCAACCTTCAGGCCAGCTGCTTGTTTATCTCTCAGGATGCCCAGACTCCCCAGGTTTCTAGATCAGGCCACAGAGCAAGTTAGCCCCGCAGGAAACTCCTGTGAGGAACAGGACATAGAGCTCACGGAACAGGCTCCCTTTAAAGAGACAGGACTTCGACAGGTAGGAAACAGGTCTGGAAGACCAGGCAGCAAGGAATCCTGGTGAAACAGGGAGCGGCCCTCTCCTAGCCAGTCTGCAGTCATGCCAGGATTTCCGATGGAACGAATCAGTGGGAGGCACACACAGATTTCCTGGGTTGAGCCCAGGGCTCATGCAGCTTCAGGGAGATCTGAAGAGAGAGAACTTGGTCTTATGAGGGGAACTAAAGAATTGGGACAGAAAGAATGTGGAACTATCCACATAATGATAGCAAGATTAATATGTCTACGAGGAGGGGAAGAATTAAATGGCAACATAATGGAAGAAGGCAGAGAGAAGGTCATTTTCCCTGAAGGATTTTAGAAACAAGAGCAACACTGAGGAAGAGGGGCTTGTGTTACTTGAAGAGGAAAAAAAAATGCTTGGTGATGGATCAGAAATTTAGATAAACCAGAGCGGGTGAGGAGGGTGACCCTCGTGCTGCAGGCAAAAAACAGTTCAGGTCTCTGGGGGTTTTTGACAGGTGTAGGTTGCCAAGGTACGTAAGAAAGGTCTCTGGTTCTGTTTGCAGCAGAATCTGTGGGTTCTAAAGTCTTAGGGGGATTGCCATATGGAATGACGGGAATTTATCGGGAAAGGGGCTTTGTGTAAGATAAGAGTGAGAGCCTTGTAGGCCTTGGAGGAAGATGTGTTATCAGGCAGCAGTTGTCAGGACATGGAATAAGATCCCTGTTAGCAATAGGCTATTTCTCAAACTGTGCTACAAGGGAGTAAGGGCAATGCCAGCAGGGCTATTGGAGCCACGGAATAAACTCAGTGTCTTCTGGGTCGTCAACTTTACATGAAGACGGGGGGTGGGGAGCGCAGGTGGAGGAGTGGAAGTGGTATTTATTTTCTTTTTAAAAAAATAAACATTTACTTGTCCGGGTAGCTTTGGTTAAAGCATCCTCCCAATACGCCACGGTTGTGGGTTCTATCCCCAGTCAGGACACATACAAGAATCAACCAATGAGTGCATAAGTAAGTGAACAACAAATAGATGTTGTGAGCGAGGTTAGGCAACACTTGGTTGTGGTTATAGAACAAACCACTCTCACTTTCCAAATTAGCAGAGTGGTGTGACGGAGAGAAAGTCTGGAGTGGGGCAGGGAGAAGTGGAGGTGAGCAGGCATGAGAGGGGCAGCTTCCCTGGCACTGGACCCAGGGCCCTGGGCAGGCGGTGGGCTCTGTGTTTGGGGCAGGAGTAATTCTGCTGGTTTGCACGTCTGATTTTAATGAATAAAAACAGATAGTTTTGCTTTTGCTAAAGTCTCTGTGGGTGCTTACTGTGCAGAAGAACAAAATCCCAAACTGGATCCCACACTGAAAAGGAGAAACACATTACAGTCTAATGGCAATTTTCAACATGATAATAGTGCTATTTGCTCTTCTGCTTACCTTATAGCTTTAAAATTTACCTAATAATCCTAAGATGTCTGAAATCCCAGAATGACTTTGGGTCTCCTGGTTTTCATAATGAAAACTTTTTTATTATGAGGTAAAGACAGTGAAAGTCAGCTTTTTGAATGGGCAGTTGGACATCTGTCTAAATGTAAGGTTTTCATAACTGGTTTTCATGACCAGGAAGTTCCTTAATTGTGTTGTTATTTTCTGATCATTATAAGGTTGTCGTTTGTGGTATTAATCCAAAATAAATGTGTCTCTGACCAAAAAGAAAAGGAAAGAAAAGAGAAAAAAAGATAACGTCAATGGAAGACTGCCGGTTCTAATCACATTAGAGAAATAAAATCATCAGCACGTTTATTCCCTTTAGCTTGCCCTTGATACCGTGCAGGGCAAGGATGCTGTGCTCAGCACTTGTCATTGGAAACTGTGGGTATAATTTTTTTAATCTTTATTGCTGAAAGTATTACATATGTCCCCTTAATCCCCCTCATCGATCCCATCCAGCCCACACCCACCTCCCATCTCAGGCCCTGACCATGGTGGGTGTATTTTAATGTCAGTTCTACTGTATTGTTCATATTTTAAGGAATTTTCTTGACTGAATTTATAAATTTGGGAGTATTTTTACAGTATTTATAGTTTGCCTATTATATGTTTTATATTTATTTTTTAGTCCTGATTTTTTTAATTTAAGTTTTTCTTTAATATGTAATGTTGTCACATGATTCAAAACTCAAAAGGTGCAAAAGAATGTCAGAGGAAGTTCTCCCTCCCACTCCTGTCCCCAGGCATCCCTGCTCTCTCCCAAGGGGCAACTAATATTACCCAATTCTTTTGTATCTTGTCAGAACTTTTCTAGGCATTTACAAGCAAATATTTATCAAGATTTCCTATTCCATTTTTATCAACTAGTAGCACACAGTATACAGGTTGTGCACTTTGCTTTTATTTTATTTTATTTTAACAATACATCACAGAAATTCTTTACATTAGAACCTAGAGAGCCTTCCCATCCTTTCTTTATGACTGCACCGTATTCAGTGGTGTGAATGTATTGTAAGAGAGGAAAAGCAATTTTCCCTGAACACTTCTGAGTTCTTAGCTCAGACTCCTGTAATAAAAGACAGATTAACAAGAGAAAAACATGTTTATTGACATGTATGCCCCGTGCATACATGAGAAAGACCCAGGGAAAAATGAGTACCTCCTGAGGTGGCATAGAATTCAGGATTAAATACCATCATAATAGGAAAAGAGAAAGGGGATGTAGGTGTCTTAGGGAAAGTAGGTAACTTTAAAGAAAGATAAATGGGCACTTAGAAGAATAAATATGACAAAGCCTGTGTGGGTGTGGTGTGGACTTCCAGTTTCCTCTTCTGTGATGAGTTTGCCTTCCCAGGTTAGTGAAACTCCCAGGGTGGGGGGCGAAATTTATGACAGCCAGGTGCCTTTTGGAGGATGTGTCTTAGACAGATAAGAGGAGCTCAGAGAGACTCTCTTTCTACATTTGCTGTTTTTCAAGTGCCTTCAGCTCAAAATAATCAATATACCAAAGTGGATATTTTGTGGTGTCATGTCCTAAATTCATATTTTGGGTGGCACATTCTGCTGCCCTTCAGTAATTTATTAAGCCATTCATTTAAAAATGAACATTTGAGATATTTCCAGTTCTCAGGCAATTTCAAAAGTTGCGATGCCTATAAATTATTCTCAGATTCACTGGTCTATTTAGATATGTTTTAATGTTGAAAGATATTTATAAATTATTAAGCCATTTTGTTGTGCAAATATGGATATAGCAGGGGAGGGAAGGAAGAAGGCTCCAGAAGCCTGGGACTCTGGTGTTTGAAAGTCTCAGAGTGTCCTGACAATCTTGTGTGTCCTATTTCCCTGACATAGTTGGGGGTCAGAGTTACGCCCTGCTCAACTCTCACTGAGGCACTTTTTTCACGTTTCTGCTTTGAGACTAATGACAGGTGTTTGGTTTTGTAGGAGCTGATGACCATTTTCCAACTACTACACTGGAATGGGAGCCTAAAAGCCCTTCGCGAAACAAAGTGTTCCCGACAGGTGAGGTTTTATCATCCAGAATAGCCTTGTGTTGAACAGACAGATCAGATGGCCATGATGTCTTTAGGAGGTTTCCTTTATTTGAACTTTTTCCTGTTAAATTTGGTGTGTTGTTTATTAAGAGCAGAAGACACATGAATAAATATACATAACTATCCTATATAATAAAAGGGTAATATGCAAATTGACCATCACTCCAACACACAACTGAGAGGGATGTCCGACTGCCCGTGTAGGCCCAATCCCGGTGATCGGGCCTACACAGGCAGTCAGACATCCCTCGAAGGGTCCCAGATTGGAGAGGGTGCAGGCTGGGCTGAGGGACACACACACACACACACACACACACACCCATGCAAAAATTTCGTGCACTGGGCCTCTAGTCCTATATAATAAAAGGGTAATGTGCAAATTGACCCTAATGGTGGATCAACCAGAATGACCACTCGACCAGTCACTATGAGGCACACTGACCACCTCGGTCCCTTTCCCCACCTGGCAGGCTTTGATTGTCCGATGGTGAACGGGGTACCAGGGATGGGTGGCAGGGGATGCAGGCAGCACCAGGCCAAGGCCCCCGCCATGCCAGTTGCCCCACTCAGAAAGGACAACCCACTGTGGGGGTGGGGCGGGTGAGCAGGCGGGAATGGCCAACCTCTTGGTCCTTCCCTCCAGCCGGCAGACTCTGATCGCCCGCTGGCAAATGGGGAACTGGGGGTGGGTGGTGGCAGGGGGCGGGGCGGCAGCTGGGGAAGATGGTTCTGATCCCAGGCCAGGCCTAGAGACTGTACCCTCACATGAATTTCATGCTCCAGGCCTCCAGTGTGTATATATCTATATATCTCTCTATATATCTACATATCTATATCTATATCTATATCTATATCTATCTATCTATCAATCCAGTTGAGTCAGGCACTGACCAAATATGCATACTAAAAACATTGACTAGGCATAGGACTGATTTAGATACTTGTACTGAATGCTGCCAAATGAAGGGGTCATTGAGACAGACTTGATTTCTAAGGCAACTGTGGAATACACTCCATGTCCCTGCCCTGCCTGTTAGAGTGTGCGCTCTCTTCCGCTCTGCAGTGTGAAAGGAAACCTCAGAGTGCACCGCGTGGGGACCTCCGCAGTGAGGGGAGGTCAAGTTGATGATAACAGGACTTTTCTCACAGCCACCAGAAGTCCCCAACCAGCAACAGAAATGCTTGTAAAAGTGGGCAAGCTGGCATCCAATCACCCCAACGTTTTGGTTTGGAAATTTCTTCTTATTTTTCGGAGACAGGGTCTCACTATTTCTTTGCTACCTATGAGAAGCACCCTGCCCTCCCCGCCCCCCCCCTTTTTAAAAGCAAAGGCAAACTCCTTCCTGTGTAACTTAATGGTTTCACCCACTATCCTCCAAGATTTATCCTTTCTTTACCCACCGTTAGACTTTGAAAGATGGGAGTTTATTTTTAAGAGTTTGCTAACAGGAACTTGCATGAGGAACAAAGCCTCACTAGTCAGCAAGAGGAGGTGGATGTAAGCATTACCATGCACTGCGGCCCCGGGAGCTTTTAGTTGTTCTTTGCCTAGAAAGCCTGGCTTTCAAAATGTCAAGGATGGAAAAGAAATGAGTAGCTGACAATGGCTTTGGTTATTTTTCCTTTTCCTTTGATTTTACAAAAGGCCTTTGAAATATCCGAGGTTCGTTATAAACACTTTTCCATGATTGTTTTTAATTTGTTAAGGTCATAAATAAATACCATATGTTCCTGAAAATACAAATAAGCAATGCATCCACTCCACAAGATCTTCCTAAAGTGTCTCCATCAAACCTACACATGATGCTACAATGCGTTGGCAAATTTTTCACACGAGAATTGACAGTTAGTGACTAATTTTTAGTTGTTTACAGAAGTAAGAGACCATGTACATGAAGGTACCATTATATCAATAATGAGAATGCCCACATCCCATAATACATTTTAAAAGTTATTACCATCGTTTCTGTGAGATATTTAGACTGTCATCTTCCTTATGCTAACAACACATTTTCTACCGAGGTCAGACCTCTATTTTGTGAATATTATTGAGTCTTCCTGGTGTTCGTGTTTTGACTCAACCTGGAGGAACTTTGCTTTGCTGTACCAGCTTAGTCCTTCATTTTCTGTAAGAAGTATGTCATGGGACTTGGCTTCAGTTTGTGAACATCAAAGAGGCCTAATGGTTGGATGTGGAGGAGGGACGGAGGCAGAGGAAAAGAGGCGTCGGGAGGCCATGGACACAGGTGCCTTTGGTGCTCTTTACTGACACTCAGGACCTTGTCTCTTGGCCCCCAGGAAGTTATCTCCTACTACTCCCAGTATTCGCTGGATGAAAAGATGCGCAGCCACATGGCCCTGGACTGGATCATGAAGGAGCGGGAGTCGCCAGGAATTCTGTCTCAAGAGCTGCGAATGGCTCTGAGGGAGCTGGAGGAAGCCAGGAAAGCAGGACAAGAACTACGGTTTTACAAAGAGAAGAAAGAAATCCTGAGTTTAGCTCTGACTCAGATCTACAGCGATCCTGACACTTCCTCGCCCAGTGATGACCAGCTGAGCCTCACGGCCCTCTGTGGCTATCACTAGCAAGGCCAGGGTCCAAGCACCAGAGGCTGGCGGAGGCCAGACTCTCACATCAGGAACTTGATTGAAGGAGGTTTACAGAGGCTTTCACCCCTATAGCTAATACCTGGAGGCTGTACTAATCCTCTCCGCCCATTCCATTCACAGAATCTGAGAGCAGTCAGGCCCTTTTAGGAGGCAGTGTTTTTCATCACACTCACAATAGTTCTACCTCAGAAGGAAAGGATGGAGACAGGTAGTTTGAAAAATATTTGCGAGGGCTTGCTCCAACCTAAGGGCTGGTTGACATGTGACTTGCTAGATTATATATGTTGTTTCAAAGAATGGGTCAGGGTAGCATCCCCTCAAAGAACATCAGTGAGGACTAGGGGGGAAAGCATGATAGCAATTTTCATTAAATAAAAAAAGCATGGATTGGAATTAAATAAAAATATGATTGTTTAAAAAAATATTCAAATGTCAGGATTTCTTTCTAAACTTTGTAAGCTAAAAGAGCGTACACTCTACAGGCTGTAATCCAAAACCACAAGGGGGATTTTATCTGGACATCCCATCAAAGATCTTAAAATGGTAATAGTATGAAACTACCCAAAGAAATTAATGTGATTTAAAATGCTCTTGTGATAACTTTTGTTAAATCCACACTCTTCCCTATGGGGATAAATATCACTTACAATAGAACCCTCAAGAAGAATTCCTCAAGAATTAATATTCAATTTTTACAAATTCTATAATCAGTCAAGTTCATTTATAATTTGCAAATAGATAACTTGAATGGATTTGTTTTTATTTTTGTCACCACAGTCATATATCTATAATGGAGAAAGTTATTGGGATTTTAAAGGTTGAAACATTTTGAAGAAATCATTAGCATTTCTCACGCATTAGAGAGAAGAAATCTTTAGCTGCCTTTGTTGTTGTTCAAGAACATAAGCCACCAGTAGCTTAATTTGTTGTCATTTTTCAGTTTAAGTGACTGGAATCTTTAAAGAAGGGTGAGACATTGCCACTTCTCTTTGAAAAGGGCTTGGGTCAAACAACTGATTAGAAAACCAAAAGCAAATACACGCTAAATTTTAGATGGTCACTCAAGTTTACAAATGGCAGTAGTGACAATTTTAAATATGTCGGTATTTCCATGTCTATGACATGAAAAGAATTATCTTGCATTGAGTCCAATAATTCAAATGAAAGAAAACTATTTTCTCAATCTCAAATATTTTTTTAAATATATTTTATTGATTTTTTTACAGAGAGGAAGGGAGAGAGATAAAGAGTTAGAAACATTGATGAGAGAGAAACATCGATCAGCTGCCTCCTTCACATTCCCTACTGGAGATGTGCCCGCAACCAAGGTACATGACCGGAATCGAACCCGGGACCCTTCAGTCTGCAGGCCGACGCTCTATCCACTGAGCCAAACGGGCTACGGCTATTTTCTCAATCTTAAATAAAATTTCTTTTTCTTCTTATTTAGGCAAGTGCAAACTAACTTTCCTGAAAGCTAAAACTATTACTATTACTTTAAACTTACAAAAATATGATACTTTAGCCTTATATATAAATATGTACAAAAGTATTTAGCACTCCTTAAATGCCCATGAAAACTACTGTATGCTGGTAATATATTTTGGAATTAGCCATAATAATAAAAAGTTAACTTCACATATTTCCCACACCAGGGGAAAATTTCCCAACATAACTGCCCTACATTAATGTTTTTGAAAAGATGAGAATATATAATATTATATAAATTTTATTTAAAAATTATTGTTTTAACAAAAATTGCATTCCTCCCCATAATGAGGCTAAATGTCACTCACCTAGAAGAAAACTTTATTTCCTTATATTCCCCAAAAGGAATTAGAGTTAGAATTTGTACGTTGAATATATTTTGAGGAAACTTTTTCTATCTAAAGTAATTTTTTTATCAAGTCATCACTCTATTATTTGAGAAAAGCCACAATTTTGATGTTGAGTGTAATTAAAGGGAGGTCCACCTTTACTGCATTTGCAGCCTTTGACAATGACCCCCTCAAGCTGACACTATCTAATTAGATGCAGGAACAGGAGTCAGCTGGGAAAATATCAAATTTACTTTCTGCCTGTAATCAGAAAACGGCACCCACTATTGGTTTTTCCGGGCTGATCTGCCCACTCTTCCTGGAATGGCATGGAAGCTACAGCAAAAGAAGCAAAACTTAGATTCCCCGCCACTGCTGGTCCCTCCAATGCTCATTTATAGCAAATCAACTTGAGCTAAGACATAATGATTGTCAGTACCTCACAGAAACATCTATAACCCTGGCCCAGAGAAGAGCAGGGCTGAAGAGCAACATGTAATATTATTTTTCCTTGTCTACATCCTGTTATCAATAGCACACTGCATTAAAGGGGATCAGAGTGAAGGGTGCTCAGTTTAAGTGCATGGAGCTCTGGGTCCTAACCTTTTGTGGTTATAAACCCTTTGAAAGTCTGATAAAAGTATGGACCTTTTCCTAAAAGAAACGCAACTAAGTGTATACATTTAAAATTAGACAAATAGTTTCAGAGAGTATGTGAACCTCCCCAAATTTCCATGGATTTTTCTTTCCAAGAAGCCCCAATTTGAACACGTGCTCACAGTCTCATAAACTTTTCAGCAAAAATCTAACCTAGCTCAGACATAGCCCCAAGGAGCCTGTTTCTAAGATAAATGCCATCATCCTTAAATATAATATTGCACTGTATTTAGACAAAAGATACGTTTAATTTTCACCAAATCCAAATACACCCGATTGTTACAAAAAACACACAACAAACATAGCTTAAACTAGTTGCTAGTGTGAGTGTACCAGAATATAACAGATTTAATAAAGTCGTTGTTCCTCTAGTGATCAGAATTCAGATGGCCATTTGTTCAAAAGCTATAGTCCTCTGATAGCATTTCCTGTTGAATTCATTCACCTGTTTCTAGCAATAGGTATTCTTGAAATATTGTATCTACATCAACTATGAATCTGATCAGCCAGGTCTCAGGAAAAAGAGAAAGAAAGCATAAAGGTTTAACACTTTCCTGTTTCTTTAGGAAAGCTTTTAAAGCCTACAAGTGTTGTGACTTTATCTCTGAAATACTTTAGAGATTTATGACTTATACCACACTATGCCTTTCTTTCTTGCTAAAGGACAAAGGAAGTCATACTAAGAATATTTTCATTATCCTTGACTATGTTCTTAGGTAACCACAATTTAAAATATTACCTTTTACATATTGTTGGTATTTTTTGTTTTGCCTTGCAGAAATGCAAATATCAAGAACTCTTCCATGGTGTCCATCATGTTAAAGAGGCAATATAAGATTGTTTTTAGCCAGGGCTCTAGGAAAGCAAAAGTCATTTTCCCCACCACAGCAGTTCTCATCTTTAGCTGCACGTTAGAAATACCTAAGGAGCTTTTAAAAAATCCTAAATGTCCAGACCGTACCCAGTCCAATGAAACCAGACTCTCTGGGAGGGGGGCCCAGGCATCAGTATTTTTTAAAGTTCCCCAGGGAGTTCTAATGTACAGTAACATTGAGAACCATTGCTCTACCCAGGAAATGCTGGCTCAGGCCGGTGGCCTCGCTAGTGGGAGCTATTACTTACTTGGCCTTGGCCCAAACTCAAATGTTGGGCTCTTCTGAGCCAGGTAAGAGCAAATCCTTTTTGCTTGGTTAAGAGACTCTCCTGGAGCCCAGAACTAAAGCAGGGCAAGTGCGCACACACACACATACACTTTATTTTTGCAGGTGAACCAAATTCTTCCCCAGGGCCCAGCTTTCTTTCTCAACTATGATACATGAACTAACTGCACCAGAATCAGGGTACAAGTTTAAAAGTACAAGTTCCTGGGCACATAACTCCAGACCTGCTGACCAAATTCCAGGGGAGGGTCTGGATTATTTACCACCTCACCAGGTGTTTCTGATCATATTTAAATTTGAGCTCTGTAAGCCTAAAGCTAGCTAGCACATTCTTCACTCTTCACTAGCGAACATCACCCCACCCTTCTGACATAACTAGCCTCTTGGGGCAGTGGTCACAGAAAGGAGTACAGGAGAGGGGAAGGTTGCCTCTCTCCCCCAAAAGCTAGGAAGAAGCAGAAGGGCGGAGACATGGCTGCCTTTTCTCTTCCCAAAGAGCAGCTCCCACTCTTTTATCACTTTGGCCCCAATATTTGGAATTATTTTTAATCCCTTATAGGAAACCATGAAAATATCTATTAGCTCACGGCTACGGCCACTTTTCCAACCTCACTAAACCCTGGGAGCCTCTCTTCCTGGGAACAAAGTAGGTTGTGGGAAAGGGGAGCGGAAGCTTCCTTCTGAGAGTTGCTGATTCTCTGGTAACTATCGGTTCCCAAGGGAAAGTCCCAGGTTTCTATTTGTAGGCAGCTCCCAATTTGAGCAGCAATTATGCTCCACAGTCCATTTGTGAGCCAATTGGTTGTTCACCCCTGAGGAGGCATTTGTATACAGGAACAAGGTCATAAATGGTGGCAAATTTCCCAGGATGGGGTTGTGTCATGTGGAGCCAAATGAGAACATAGAAGAAGCAGGAAGACAGGGGTATGGGTGAGCGAGACCAGTCCCATGGCCAGCTTGACAATCAGCCTGCTCCATGTGCCCCTGGAGCAAGAAGGTACCTATAGTATTGATCTAGGGGACCTAACCCAGGTCCAGGTTGTGACTGAGCAGAGGAAGGTAGAACAAGGGGCAGCTGTGGGTCTAGGAGGGCATAGTATTGAAAGACCTCCCTGGCGGCATATTCTGTTTCAAACCGCTTCTCCGGAGTCCCTTGATTTTCTCTTGTCTCTCATAGATTACCCACTGCCATCACTTGTTGCTTCTTCTGATCACAGTTTCTTTTACTTTCTGACCTACTAAAGAAGAAGTGATCTTCTTTATGCCTTTACTACAAATCTTTGAAAACTTCTAAGAGTTGTTATCATTGGAGATAGGAACATTCACGTGACCTACAAATGACCGCTACTAAGTTCTCTGTAGTCTGTTTCCACCAGGCCCTATGGGGGGAGACAGGGGCACATGGAGCAGGCTGATTGTCAAGCTGGCCGTGGGACTGGTCTCGCTCACCCATACCCCGGTCTTCCTGCTTCTTCTATGTTCTCATTTGGCTCCACATGACACAACCCCATCCTGGTCACAGCTGCCCCAAGCTCACCAGTTCTGGGTAATCTGGCTTGAAATCACAAACTGGCCTGATCAATCTGTTCCTCTTAGGAATGTGAACGAGCAACATGGGAGGAATTTTCCAGTTCAAGCTGGGAGCTGAACCTAGAAGAGTCAAGTTTGTGACTGACTGTGTCTGTGCAGGCTGAAGGGATGAGGAAGTAGGAACCAGAAGCCAGCAGGGTGGTAGAGAGGAAGCTAAGGGGTTCAGATAGCAGATGCAGAGACAAGCAGAGACGCAGGAGAAGGTAAGAGCAGGAGGCTCATAAGGGGATGGTGAGAGCTGCTGGCCCAAATGCCCTGCAATAAATTCGCTTATTCTTCCCCTGAGTGGGTCACACACCTGGCAACCAAAGAAATCTCGCTTTACTCACTGCAGAGAAAAATCCCATTAGATCATTCAGAACTTTTCATCCTATAAGAACAGACCAAAAATACTGCAAAAGGAGGAACTTCAAGTGATAGGAATGCTGCTAAGAAAATTAGATTGAGAACTGGTGACAGAGTTAAGTTTCCCCCTCTCACTGCCCCTCCCACTGTAATGTAAGGTCTCACCCGTCCGGAGTCCTTCCCAACTCTGAAACACACTTATGTATTATGTGCTAACCATCTTGTCCTTGCTCCCCTACACAGATTTTTCTATGTTCTTATGTTCCATAGAGGTATGGCCACAGAGGGAAAATAGAATAAAAACACAGAATTCATAACCTCAAATAACTTTTGTCTTAAAAAACTATTCACCCGGCTGGTGTGACTCAGTGGTTGAGCATCATCCTATGAACCGGGAGGTCACAGTTCGATTCCTACTCAGGGCACATGCCTGGGTTGCGGGCTCGACCCCCAGTGAGGGGCATGCGGGAGGCAGCCGATCAACAACTCTCATCATTGATGTTTCTATCT